TAGAATTGCAAGTAGATTAGATTATGGAATCATTCAAAGAAGTTGATTTCTAAATGGTATTTTGGAATCAATGTTTGAAATTGAGATCCCAAACCGTATTAGTGTTGGGGGTGGGCCCATCTTGACTTGGAAAGTGAAGTCTCCCCTCCTCCAAGTCAACCCACTTAGTCAATCAGTCAGTCCATTCTATTCTTGGTCGGAAGAAGAATGTGGTACGAAATTCCCACACTAGCCGTCGGGATTCAATTTTATATTTTAAAAGTGCATCCATGGAAACGTACGTATTAATATTAATTTATAGGTTTTTATACATAATATATATAAAATAAAAGTGATAGTAGATATTAATATTTTATATGTTTATTGAATTTTAATATATTATTTTATTTATTAATTTTTTTTTCAATTTGCTAAGTGGAGTAATAAGTATGATGTAATAAAATTCAAACATAAATATATATTTATATGCATAGCAATAACCACCACCACTGTTAGTCAGTCCGCGACACATGACTCGTTCAAAGACACGCTCAATATATATAATTAATTAATTAATTAATAAACAAAAAAATTCTCACATATTTATATGTAGATATGTCTGTGTCTGTATATCTCTTCAACTTAACTCTTGACACTAGGGGTGGAAATAGGCCAGGCCAGGCCAGGCTTTGGTTAAATAGGTTTGGCCTGTCTTAAAAAGATATGGCCTGAGCCTGGCCTACCAGCCTGAAAAAAAATATTTTTAAAGCCTGAGCCTGCCTTTTTAAAAGCCTGACCTGGCCTACGAGCCTGTTTAAAAGGCTACATAATAATTTATTATTATTATTATTATTATTTTTTTTTTGTAAATTTCGTACTATAAATAAAAAATAAAACAGATACAATTATTTATCCCTGATAATATTTGAATTATGATAAAAGAAACAAAAAAAGGAATATGTGTGCAGTAGTTGTTCATATTTGAAATTTTTTATTGGGATAAAAATTATTTTTATTTTTGTTTTTTTTTAATAAATTTATAATTAAAATTTTTTTTTTATATATCATTATTATATATAAAACTATTCTTATTTTATAATAATAAAAAATAATTTTATATAATAATAATATTATTATTAAACAGGCCGGCCTGTTTAGTAAATAGGCTTTTTCATAAGCCTAAGCCTATTCTGTATATATAAACAGGCTTTAACAAAAATCTGAACTTGGCCTTTCTAATAAATAGAACAGGCCAGACCAGGCTTGATGTAGGCCAGGTCATAGGCCCCTGACAGGCCGCCTGGCCTATTTCCACCCCTACTTGACACTGGCGGTGTCCAATAGTCTATCGATCAATTCTCATTCACACAAGAACACCCACAAACATGATACATACTCTCTACGTTCCATAACTAAGTATTCGTTTGTTTTCTCACGTAATTTTAAAAATATTAGTGTTATATTGGGATATAGTAGGAATAAAGTAGAAATAACTAAAATACTTTTATTAATATTGTCTGGTACAAAGGTAATGACATTTGTGTAATATATTATAAATTGTAAGGGTATTTGTAATGTTAGGTAGATAGTACAGTTACTAAAAAAAAAAGAAATAGATACTTTGTTATGGGACAGATTAAAATGAAAAAATGAATAATTTGTTACGAGACTGAATGGAGTATAAAATATATACTCTTATAAATTCCTTTGCAAAATAATAATAATAATAATAATAAAATAAAAATTAAATTAAAAAATGATGTTAGAATGTACTTCACATTGACCTAGTAATGCATCAATTCATATCGGATTGAATACTTTGAACGAATCAAATCATTCAATCTTAACTCAATCTGTTCATTAGCATATCGGGTTCGTATTAACTCGTATATATAATTGAGTCAAAATTTTTGATCCACATCCAATTATCTCATATTGAATTCGTATCGAATTGTCGTATCAGGAAAATTTTTACCGCCTCTAACTCTACCCCTCATGAAAAAATAGGCTCGTATATTCCTGTTACAAGAGTTCTTATTTTTTGTCCGTTAAATTTTTTATATATATTTTTTTTTGTTAAATTTATCTTATTATTAATTTATACTAAAAAAATCATATTTAACTATTAATTTTTATTTACTACAATTATCACTATCAATATAATATATTATTCCCTTTAATCATTAATTTAATTCATATACATAATTTAGATTCACTTAATTATTTGTCTATTTTTTTTATTCAATTTTTCATGAAAAAAAAGGATTTAATTTTGTATTCTCCTTATCGACTCAATAAAAATAATAGTGAATGGATGAAATATATTTTATAAATATATTATATTATTTCATTATATGTTTTTCAATATAATATATAAAATAATTTTTTCAATAAATATCTTATTCAATAATTATTTTTATAAAAGTTTAACAATTAGTTTTACAATTTATTAATATTATTTATAAATAAATATAACCATATTTTTATTTTTATATAATAATTAAAATTTTAGTAAGATATTGTTATATATATGATAATAAATAATAGCATAAAATATACTTATATATTTTTGTAAGTTTATATTTATTAACTAAATTATTGTACCATAATTTAATTCTCTTTTATCATAATGGTTAAACATAATGTTCAAATGTATTTCAACCTATCAAAAGTAGTCTCTCTAAATAAATTACTTGGATATGAAAATAAAGTTTTTCTTAGATCATATATTGAAAATTCATATTTTCAGAGCTTTTTTTTGTTATGAAAACAAAATTCGAACATTACTTATTAAGAAATTGGAATATTGAGAAAAGTGTTTTTCTTTTTCTTTTTAAATGAAACACAATATTATACTTCCTTCGCTCCAAAATTATAATCTATGTTGTGTTTGACACGAGATTTAAGAAATATTGATATTATACGAGTAGTGGGTAAAAAGTACGGATAAAAGACTTTTTTGCCCTTGTGAGTGTATTAGTGTAAAAAATAGTGGCAAATGTATAATAATAATGAAAAAGTAAAGATAGTTTATAGTGATATGATTATTTATGAAAATGAGACTATTGTTTTGAGACGAACAAAAATGGTAAACAAGACTATTATACTGGGACGGAGGGAGTATTACTAATGAAAATGTTAGGTTCCCCTCATAATTTTGGCAAAAGTACTACTTCCTCCGTCCCGTCACAGACGATCTCATTTCCTTTTTGGTACGTCCCGCAAAAGATGACCAATTTTCATTTTTGGTAAGTTTATCAATCTTAAACATACTTAACAAATACTACCTCCGTCCCATATCTATATACACATTTACTTTTTGCACGAAGTTTTAGAAATATTAATATTATATTGGATAAAGTAGAAATAAAGATAAAAAGACTAAATTATCCATATTAGTATTGTATGATATAAATGTAATGACATTTGTGTAATATATTGTAAATTGAACGGATATTTGTAATGTTAAGTAGATGGTACAATTACTGAAAATGAATACTTTGTTATGAGACGAACCAAAATGGCAAAATGGATAGATTGTTAAGGGACGGGGAAGTATAAATCAATTTAATTAAACTTCTAACATCTTACGCGTAGGACCACTCAAAACCCTTTTATTTCTATCTCTCTTATCGATTAACAAATATTTTTATCTACCTTTAAAACTGCTTATTTTTTATAAAACTAATTTATGATAATGATAAATAAATAAATATATTTTTTTATTCATTTGTATTATATAAAATTTTATTGTCATATTCATATTGCATATATTTTATTGAGATATAATTTTAAAAATATTTAAAATACCAACAACATTCCACATATAAAAAATAATAAAATATTATCTTTAACTTATTATTAATAACTTAATAATTTACATTACCTAAAATACTGTGTCCCTAACAAAAGAAAAGAGAGAGTATATATTTAGAAATACCTTCAGGCTATTATGCAGAATTTCATAAAATTAGCCAAATGTTTGAGTTTGATACACAAAATTCAATGTTAGTCCTATAGTTGGTTCTTAAAAATATTAGAATTATCTAAATTGCTCCATCCTATTATTTTTTGAAGATTTATTTTCTCTATTTTTTTATTTTATTATTATTATTATTTATTTTCTCTATTTATTTTACTTTATTATTATTATTTATTTTCTCTATTTATTTTATTTTATTTTATTATTATTTTTATCCATATCATTAGTTTCATCTATATCTCTAAGCATAGATAATCATTTTTATGAAATTTCTTGTGTCTCCCGACGAAAATGTAAAGTATAATTAGACTGCCTTTGTAAAAGACAAGTGGTGGTAAATTCAATTCACAATTGCAAATATAAATTAATTAATACTAAAAAAATAATTTGTAGACCAAATATGCATTGTCTTATAATAAGATTTAAAATGTATAAATATAATCATAAATGCATATCATTTTTTTTTATTGAAAATGAGTAATAAAAATTCAAAAAAATCACAATCGAAATTCACAACTACACTTAACAAAAACACAGAAAAATGTCCGTAAGGAATGGTCTGATAGTGTAGGAGTTAGAGATGTGACCCTTTCGGATATTAGCTATTCCTATGTCATATTAAAAAAAAAAAAAAAAAAAAAAAAAAAAAAAAAAAAAAACACACACAAAGATACTATGTATTAAAAGAGAATTAATGAATATTGTGCTGGGACTAATTTTAAGCACATGATCCATCATCAAGATTTATGATAATACAATAATAGTGAGTTTGAGTAATATGATGATTAATGTTTTAATTAGGCTGTAAGAATCAATCATTTAAGGTATGAGGTGAGGTGTTCCCCACATGGTGTGCTGTGCTGAGCTGAGGACAGATAACATACAACATTCTTCCCAGCCCCACCAAAGAAATCGACACACACATGCCTTGCTCAACCCAATCCCATAAAGAAATAAATAAATATGCAAATGGAAATTGATTATAAATTAGATGGAGGGATTGATCTGCTTTTTTCTCTGTCTTCACCATATCATCATCTTCCTCAGCTCAAATCGCATTTCAATGTCTTCTTAATAATGTCAAAAATAAGAACAGCCTCTTACTTACCATACTGTACTTTACTGTACACTACAGAAACATCAATAGTTCCACTACCACTTCCCCATAAAAATTAAAGCTTGCTTTTTCTCCATTAATGGAAGTAGCTTCTACTTTTATACACCTTCCACTCTTCTCAAAACTTTGCTGCCTTCGTTTATGTTCATGGATACAAACACAATACATACCTACTTACATGTGCCACAAGCTTCCTTTCTTCATTTCTTTTCTTTCTTTCTTTGATGATCAACCAATCCCCAATATGCCATGCTTGATCCTGTTGAAATGGATGCAACCTCAGGTATTCTATTGTATTGTTTTGATTCTTCGTCTCTTTTCCCACACAACAATGAATCAATCATTGCACAATTGCATCTTATTATTATCGATGATCTTGTGCACCAACAAATGCAGCCTGTGGTCGGTTATTGGTGTCGCAACAATGAATTCAACGTTTATGAAGAAGCAGTTTCTTGCGCCCCAGCAAGATGGTCTTCTTCGATGCGTTGCAGTAGTTCCTCGTACACTTTAAGCGAGTTAGCCGTAAATCTTTCCATTGCCTCAAGAACATGTTGCAGACTGGCCTGTAGACTCCCACCTTTCGTGGTTTCACTTTGGTACACGACATGTCCTGTTAATGGCATCCCGTTGCTGTCTGCAGAAATTAGCATCATCCTTTTGTCCAACGCCTGCATCTCTTTCTGTATCTTCTGGTCTTCTTTCTCCAGGCTCTTGATTTTTCTATCATCCTTGCTCGATAGCATCCTTTGCCGCATTTCTGCTTTGTCCCGATCCCATAGCTGAAGGACGTTCGAAGCAAATTCGCGCATAGAATCGATAACTTCCTTCTCAGAAATTCTATCCAACAAGTGCCACCATTGATAACAAACAACAAAAACTGGAGGAGCACCAATTCTACCAGGAGAGAACGGCACAGTCCCGTCATCTGTTTCTTCAGGAACGTAAAGAAGACATTTCATCAGCCAGTTATTCAATGCCTGGACATAGCCCTTTTGCGCGCCAACCCAATAAGAGAACCTCAGAGTCCAATTGATAAGATCGTGCTCAAGCTGCCGAGTTGCTTCAAAATGATCGTCGCTGAAGTGTTTTCTTAGTGCAATGGCATCCAATCGTTTTGCCTCGGTAATTGCTTGACACTGACTCTGGTGACACTCAAGCATGGACTTCCACATTCTAGTCAACCTGGGAAATGCCGACCAGAATAAAGGATCACATATGGAAGGAAAATATGTAAAACAAGTAATCTGAATCCCATGTAAAACCAAAACCAAACATATAAACTTGAAAAAAGATGCTAAAAAGATTCAGAAACCAAAAGTTTAAATTATGTATAATCAATCGATAGAATTGGGTCAATCTTCGCAACCTAGTGTTAACTATTGAAATTTTTGTTTCACAAGAAAACCACGACAGAAACAAGGACTTAATCCAACTCTAATCAATCACAGAGTGCCCTGATACTATGTACCTGGAATTGTGCACACCTGGTAGCCTGTATTATCAGTTCATGCACAACACCATGAAATTTAATGCATCATTCAAGTAAACAAGAGCTAATCGAAGTCATAATGAAACAACATATTTTATTGCAGGCCAGGCCACACACACATGTATATACGTATATAACCTGCACAAACAAAATTAATAAGCACGGTCCAAATATTAAAGTCAGATTTCGGAGCAACTTGAACCAAAGATACATATTTTGAGAGAAAGATTTACGTACCCTTGAATGAACTCGTTTAGCTGGGGCCACAACTCTTCATCTCTTAATGTATTTATCTTCACCGATATCTTATCAACTACCTGAATTGCAATTTTAATTTTTGTCGAAAGACTCCTCACTAAAGTCCTGGTTGCATCAACTTTGTGGGGTTCAGCACCCTTTTCATCCAAACGCTTTAATTTTCTAGACTTCCGCTCATGGAGGACTCTCATTTTCTCCTCAACCTGCCACAAGGAAATGCAGAAGGCTTACGCAACGTTAAATTCACTAGTCTTCATCATAAGAAACCACAAACGATCAAATTAATACAACTAGGCTGTCAGCAATCAGGCGTGTTTTTAAATAACGACAGTGTCGTATTAGCCATAATGTGGAGGGACCTCAAATAACAAACTAAAATCAGCAACGGCAAAGTAAATGATAAAATAAATGAACTTCAAAGATCCCCATATGTCAAAGAACAGCATGTATGTGCTCAAAGGTATTCAGCTTGTGCAATATAATTGCAATCTAAGGCCCAAGTAACATGCATATAACTGGCAGGCTATATAGCACACAACCCAACACACAAGAAATCTAGGGTTAAGAAAACCTCACGCAGGGAGGTAGAGAAACACCGCAGCCGAAAGTGAAATGACGCAGCACAATATGCTCTCTAGGATCATAATATTCAACAGATATCAGAAATGAAGCCTATAACGGAGCTTTTTAGAGAAAAAGTCCCAACTTATACACTATATTTAACATAGTTAGTAACCATTCCAACATGGAGCAACAATCCAGCGTGGATTTACGTAGAACATCACGCCACCATACGAACATGGTATATAGGTTCAAGATGTTTTTATCATCAATTTTCTCCCTTAAAAAGGACTTGATTAATTTTTACCAAAATGCTCTTTGAACAAGGGAATACAGATACAGTAGACAAAAAGAGAAAGAAGTTAATGAGGCGAATTAATGTTATACCTTTACTTCTTCACACAATTTCTTCTCCCAGAGATACAACTTATGTAATGTAGAAGAAAGTGTCTTCGACCTCAGCTGCAATTCTTTATCAATCTCCAAAGAAGCTGGATCAGTAGCATCAGAGCCCTTAGACGTCGAAGGTTGCGAGGACACCGCAGACAAATGCAATATCTTGGAAGAAACTGATGCACAGATACATTCAGAATTCAATTATCTATATCATTTTTCACCCAAACTATGCATATCATTATCGTAGCACTTCTCCAAAAATCAATAATAATCAAATAAACTCAATCGAAGATGTCACTCAGAAAAGTAGATCAAGAAACTGTTGGAACAAGGAGGAGTTCAAACAAGATTTGAATTGTTCAAATAATTAAAACATGAAACTTAAAGAACCAACATAAAGATCAAATTTTTACCCTGATGTCCACCATGTTTGCGTTTATAAGGCAGCTTTCCAACCTCAAGAAACTTTGCAAGCTCATCTCCGGAGTCGGAGGCTCGCTCAAAGAGAACTTTAATCTCCCTGACAACATCATAGTCTCCTTTGAACCCGCCACCCCGTGGCTTAAATCCAGATGCATTGCCCCTATCTTTGGAGCCCCCCTCGGCATCAACCACCTTTTTATCCACCATATGCACCTCATACTCCACAGGATCACTTTCAGTCCCTACACTTTGTCTAGCACCCCTATACTGTAGCACCTCATCATTCACCGCTCGAGCATCCTGTTCTGATATCCCTGGTTTTGAATAATTGCTGCTTCTCCCACTGTCCACAAATTTCTGGTCCCCATGAACTTCCTTCACAACCTCATCCTCATCATCCTCCAAATCAGGAATCCCCTCATCTTCTCTTACCTCCCTAGAATCGCGGCTTGGAGTGTACGTCGGATAGTATTTCTCGAAGCTCTCAAACGGATTTAAAAAATCCCAAGCCGATGGCCTAGGGGGTGAAGGTGGAGGAGGTGGGGCTTTGGAGCTGGAAGCCACTCCCGCTCCCGGAAGAGATGCAAAGCCACCGTCGTACGCTGCCTGCTGAGCAGAGGACCCACCGAAGAACCCACCTCCAGCACCGTAATTAGGATAATTTGAATAATCACTTCTGGAATTGTAGTAAGAAGGGTATGAATGACTTGGGTTCTGATTGTTGGTATTGGAATAGATAGGCTGAGGATAGTAAGAAGACGATTCGCCCATTCGCATAGTTTCTGGACTCATGGGGCGTTGAGCAAACACCATAGACGGCGTCGGTTGTTTTTTCATGTAATTGATGTTCATAAAGCCCCCGCCGCCGGCTCCCGGAAGATTTGGATTCAGATGGCCGTACATGGGAGGCAAATAGCTGTCGTACGGGAGGTGTTGCTGCTGAAGGGGAGGGGGAGGAGTCCCGTCTTCATGATGATGATGATGGAGGGATTCCGAACCAGAGCCGTCTTCATCATCAGAATCAAAGTGGAGATGCGCATCTGAATCGGAGTCGGAGTCGGAGTGGGAGTGGAGATGGTGCTTAATTTTGTCCGGGGGAGGAGAAGAGGAGGGTGGGGAGGGGTCCCCCTTCCTTTGAGGGGGGAGGTTGAGAAGAGGGGAGGGAGGGGAAGCGTCGGGATCTTGATTGAAGAAAAGGTCGAGGGAAAAGCCGATGGCTTTGAGGGAGTGGAGATAAGCTAAGTGGGCATCGGCCAAGGCGAAGCGCTGCCGGACAGCCTCGTCGAGAAAAGCGCAGCGGTCTCGGCAAAGAGCCAGCGCCGGCGAGTCATCAAGCTTGGAACTGGCGCAGCCCCCCATGGGAAATACTGCTACCACTACTATTATTAATTCCTTTCCTTCCCTGATTACTGATTAGGAGGAGTGAAAACCACACAAAAGATAAGAAAATTTAGAAAATTAAAAAAACAAAAAACACAAGGGGGCGGAAGAAGATGAATGGTTGTGGTTAAATTAAATCATGGTCGGACAGACTGATGGGAGGGATAGGGGTGGGGGTCGAGGTAGGGGTAGGGGTAGGGTTGGGGAAGAGGAAGAAGGAATCTTTTTTCAATATGTTTGATTTGTTTGGTATATAATTGAATTGAATTATATCTGGATTCTGGACTGGTTCGGGTCTCTGGGTAAAGCAAGGAGGATGGCAGCCAGCCAGGAGAATGGCGTCGGGTAGCAGCAGAAAGAAAGAAAGAGAAAAGGAGAGACAGGGTGAGGTGGGGGTATTATTGAGGAATTAATTAACCTCGTCGTGTCGGTCGGTGCGATTTGCGAACAGTAGCAGCAGTAGACGACGACGACGACGACTAGTAGTAAGGAAATAATGGATGAACCGGACCGGACCGAACCGGACCGGAGGAGGGTACTACGACTACTCGGCTACGCCTACTAGTCAGTCTACTATTATTAAGCCTAGACTAGTTTCATTTTGAATTTTAAATTTATTTTGACATGATTAATTAATAATTTATTATATATTCAATATTATATCACATGACTATTTGTTCGCCGTATATTTTGCTAATTCGGTAATAATTTAATTGGCCAAATATAAATACCAGTGATAACAGTAATAAATCTATTATTACTTGTATATGGAAAGAATAATTTCTTATTTAAATTTTTACTATTTTCTTAACGTTCTAAAATTTCAAAATATTTTAAAAACATACTAAATACAACCCTAATGTAATCCACCCTCTCGTACATTATTATTATTATTCCAATTTAATTAATAAATAAATTAATTAATGTAATTTGTGGAAATTACGTCAGACTTCATTCTCTTATTATATATTGTCTTTTTTGGTACTATTTTTATAGTAATTGCACAAGAGAATAGATCAATCAACACACACACATATATCATACCTTTTTCCATCATCATACTGTAAAAGTTCAAATATTTGAATTATTTTTTTTAATAATAAAAATAGATATAATTATTTTTATTTAAAAAAATAAATAAATAAATAAATTTAAATAACATAACATAGATGGAGCAACCGTTTTTCTTCCTTTAGCACATAAAGGCATTCAAACCCTCAATTTATTGATTACATCAACAAAGTCGACCCACTTTAATTTCTTCCTTATAGTTTTGTCTAAATTGGGATATATTTAAAGCCCTTTTCACTTCTTTCTTCTTCCGTTCAAAGGATTTTGGAGGTAATTTCAAAGGAATAATATTTTATTCGTCTCAAAATTATAGTTTTATTGTATTTGGCACAGTTGGTAAAAAGTAAGAAACTTTTTTGCTTTTGTGAATATATTAGTGTAAAAAGTAGTGACAATTGTGTAATAATAATGAAAACATAAAGAAAGTTTTACGATGATATAATTATTTATGAAAATGAGACTATTATTTTGAGACGAAAAAAAATGATAAACAAAGCTATTGTATTGGGACGAAGATAGTATCAAATATAAAATTAATTTGAGTTACGATTATTCAGCATCATCATCTCCCTGCCCCACACACATCCATGTATAGATACATGGGTGTGTATCTATACACGGAGTCTGTTATGATGCAAGACTTCATTGATCTGTATTTTGATGGTGAACATAAAATTAATTGGAGAACAAACCAAATAAATCTTTTGATTTTTGTGCATGATTGATTATATTTAGATTTTCAACTCTATGGACATTTCAAATATTATTTACGAATTACATAGACAAGAATTAATATATCTATTTGGTTTCAATTTTTTAATATGATATACTCTCTGCGTCCCGTAACAAAGTATCTATTTTTCCATTTTAGTCCGTCCCATAACAAAGTATTCATTTCATTTTTTAGTAACTGTACTATCTACTTAACATTACAAATACCCTTACAACTTACAATATATTACACAAATGTCATTACCTTTATATCACACATATTAACAAGGTTATTTTACTCATTTCTATTTTATTCCTACTATATCCCAATATAATACTAATATTTCTAAAACTACGTGAAAAAAGCAAATGTATATTTCTTTTTGGGACGGGGGGAGTATAATAAAATATTATATTAAATTACTTGTTTTGTCACAATTCGAAGTATTTTTTTCAATAGTTTTGTTTATACCGCTCAAAACTATCTCTTTTCTAATATATTTATATATATTATATATAAATACTAAAATATCTCTACTTTTACAAAATTACAAAAATATCATTATTTTATTTGTAGACCAAAAATATCAAATTATCTTACACATTTTCCTAACCAATAAAATATTACTCTCTCTTTCCCAAACACCGTGAAATATTTATTTTCGATACAAAAATTTAAGTGGATAATATTAAATGCGATAATTTAAAAATTAAATAATATGGTGAGGGAGAAAAATAGGTGTGTTTGGAATGGAATATTATTACTTGTATTAACTAATAAGATATTATTATTTTTTAATTTACTGTACATAAAAAAATAATCCATTTGAAATGAGACAATAATTTACTGTACATAAAAAAATAATCCATTTGAAATGAGACGAATGAAATATTATTTTTAAATTCAAATTCAAATTTTAAAAATAAAACAATGCCCCAAATAAACAATCCCAAATTGTTATTTTGTTTCTTTATAATTTACAATTATCTGCAACTTAATTCTATGACTCATTAATAAAATGTTGAGTGATTTGCAAGGCAGAGAATTATTGTATTATGTAATTATTTGTTTGAATGATGATAAGTATATTTGTTTAGTATTTTAGCTTGAAGTAATTATATATATAAAAAATATTATAAAAAATTGTGTTGATAATATCGAAAATAATATTTTGAATTAGATGTTGATATTTTGTGAAGTAATAGGATATATTTTTTCCCTCTCGTCTCAATGTATATTTTTTTTACCGATTCATTCCACTTGTTGATATAGAAGGTCAACAATAAAAAAATAAAATTCAGAAATATACTTCGAATTTGAAAAGTATTTGAAATCTCGAAATATCTAAACAAAGTACGCAAAAACTGATAAATAAAATACAAGGACAACTGATAATGTAAAATAATGTCCCAATGAGACTTTCATGAAATTGTTATTGTTCGAAGATCTTCATCCTCTTGTCAAAAATCGCTAATATATATATATATATATCCAAATTGTATGGAATCGTTCCCGAATCGGTTATACTCATCGTGTGTTGAACCGTCGTCGGTTACAACCTATACTTCTCATGTCGATACGTGGTCATTTTAGATTGATACCGACCAATTCAGTAGTTTTAATTGATTCCTCCTAAACTAATCGTCCGAGTAATGTTAGTCGGTTGATTCTTTCAAATAATCCGTCTAACCGTTAAACGACCTTTGTGGGCCTCATCTACTTCAACTGACTTGTTTGATTTGAATTTTCATTCGGGCCCACCACTGAGCCCGCTCAATTTTGATCCAATGGCTGAAATTCCTAAGTTTGAAATATGCACTCAACACCATTAAAAAATATTCATTTTTATTTATAGTAAAAATAATCAAAATCGAATGGTTAACTCTCGTCTATAGATAAATTAGTGATATGTATACGTAAACAGTGAGATAGTCTTTCGAATTGCATACTTCTTCTTACACATGAAGGTCAAATCACACATAGATAAATTAATGATACATAGACAAATGGAGTATATATATATATATATATATATTATACCTATTGAGAAGTGTGTCAGGTTAGGGTGACAAACCCTATATATGTACATGTACACTGTCATTCAGTTCGAATAACAACATGATTTTATTGTATGTCTGGTTATTCACAAATATTAATATTTTATCGTATTGTCAAGGAGGAATCAAGATTGAAAGTAAAAAGACAAAAAGGTGATCTGGGATACAAAAGAAAACATATATATATATATAGAGAGAGAGAGAGAGAGAGAGAGAGTATTTGTGGGTGTTTGTGGGTATGGCAATAGTGAATTCAAGCAAGAAGTGGGTTGTACGTGTGTGTGTATTTCAGAGGAAAGATTTGGGGTGGGGTGGGGTGGGGTGGGGTGGGTTTCATAGTTATAATTAATTAATAATCACAAGAGGAAAGTATGATGTGAGTGGATTAGTGAATTAAGATGAAGATGAAAATTCACGGTGGTGTTCGTTGCCCAAATGGGTCAGTTGGGTTGGGTTCAACTAATCGTCACTGTGTATATATATATATATATATATATGTATTTATATGTGTGTCTTAATTTGGCCATAACAGAGAGGATAGCACTGGGTGGGTGGGGCCTTGGCTTCTGCGGCCTTTCTAAGTTACTTGTCGTCTTTGAATTTGATGTCAATTTGTGCTTAATTAGGTTTGTTTAGATGTAGGTTTTTGAAGATTTTTAAAAGTTAAAAAAATATATATTATAATAAATAAAAGATTAGTATTTAATTTGATATTTTGTGTAAAAAAATATATTTAATGTAATATTTTTTTAAAAATAAATAGTATCAAGTGAGTAAAAGTATATTAGGTAAACAAAGCGAGAAATATCTTTGATTTGACATAATAAATAAATAAATAAAATAAAGCAGCCACCATGCACACCACATACGACACATACTAATCTACCTATATAACCTCAACGTCAACGTCGTCTGCCAATGTCAATATCATACTAACTGAATGTTACTCTCTCTCTCTCTCTCTTTCTCTCTCCCCCATAAATATATAGTCTTAATTGGATTGAGTATAAGATTTAAAAAAAATATTAATATTATATTGATAGTTAGTAAAAAAATATAAATAAAATTCTTTTTGTCATTGTAAGTATATTAGCGTAAAAAATAATGGCAATTGTGTAATAAAAATAAAAAAGATAAAAGTAATTTTACGATGATATGATCATTTATGAAAATAAGATTATTTTTTTTAAAGGGACAAAGTATATTATATACAGTAGTACTATATACATTTATTATCCTACTTGTTACTCATACAACTATAATAACCTTCTTTTTTTTTTCATATATATATTTATTTATTTTATTTTTTATTTTGATTTTGTTGACCTTTATTGACTGTACTGGCGTGGCCATCATTTGAACGGTGATTGATGTATAGATAAGACCAATCTGCATTTAGTTGAATTTGAGATGGGCCCCACCATGCAATAAAACACAAAACACTGCTCCATATAATAATTGAATAATATGATAACGATGATGATGATAGAGGGTAATGGACGTACTAACTACA